GGGGCCAAGAAGGGAGGAGGTAAGAGGGAAGCCACAGGTACTTTTGTATCCTTGGGAGGGGTAGGCTGATACGGGTCCCACATCCCACTTGTGGGAACTATGGATATTGGCTGTGTGCTCTGTCCTGTGTTTCTCCCTCTCTGGTGGAGTAAAGGGCTCTGGTCATTTGGCAGCCTAATGGTAGCACCCCACGAGAGTTAGCCTGAGCAGATGCCAAATGGATAAAACGTCCCAATGGATGGGTCATTGTGTGTCGAAATGTTAGGCTCGCTGTTTCTTTTCCCTCTTCTCCTGGCCCTGTCAGTCCTCTTGGGCCTGGGCTTGAGGAAATCCAGGATTGGAAAAACAGGGGTGGCAGAAAGAGTAGCCCTAGAGTACTTCATCCACTGCTGCCTGTGCCCACAGGCCTTGCCTGCTTTTGCTCCTTTGGGGAGGGGCTTAGCGCAGGGGATGTCTTCTATCAGCTCTCCAGTAAGAGCCAGCAGAGGTTATTCTGGAGAGTTCTGAGAGAGCAGCCTCTCATCCCACCCAGCGGGAAGAGGGCCTCAGGGTATTCTAGGGGGTGAGTTGGGGAACGGACATTGATTTCTATAGTCTGGGCCGGGCATCTCTTGGTGACTTGTCCACCAAGACTTTGTCAGCATGTAGTCCCAGTGGATGGTACGCATGACAGCCGGAGCTAATCCCATCCCAGAGATGTAATGGCTAGCGTTACATTCATGTGGACTTTCTCCAGCCTCTGAGCTGGAGGATTGAAACAGTGGCCGGTGGTGTGGTGTTCTCAGGGAACCTCTGTGGGGCTCTGGGTGTGAGGGGGCAGGGAAAGTGGTGTGACCTGTCTCACCTGTGTTGCTTGTTTGCAGAGCAGCAGTCGAGAGGGGTGGCAGGATGAATGTGGGCACGGCACACAGCGAGGTGAACCCCAACACGCGGGTGATGAACAGCCGCGGCATCTGGCTCTCTTACGTGCTGGCCATCGGACTCCTTCACGTCGTGCTGCTGAGCATCCCCTTCGTGAGCGTCCCTGTCGTCTGGACCCTCACCAACCTCATCCACAACTTGGTGAGAGCCTGCTTACCGCGTTTCTCCCACCATGTGGGCTGTTCAGTGCCTGAGCTGAGAGTCACTGGACGGACTCCGCAGGTCCTGTCAGCATCTGTCACCAGAGCCCAGGACCAGCTCGTATCTCTGCCTTGCTCCCCCTTGTGGGCTGTAGTATGCCTACAAGAATGAAATCTGCACATCCTCTGTGTCTTCAGGAAGGGCTGGACTGACTGGCTGGTGTGTGTGGAGGACGGCCAGCTGAGAGCTGAGTCCTTGTTGATGCTCCCCAGGTCCCAGGAATCTAGTGCAGAAGCGTTCCTTTCCCACGATAGGATCCCAAACCGTGTTCTTCTGACTCTCTGCTCCCTAAGACCTGCTGCCTTGTACCACACTTCAGCAAGCAGGCAACTCATCCTTGCTACTAGGCTTGCTCCTTTTAGCTGGCACGTAGAGACCCAGTCGGACTGGAAGGCAGCATGTATGCCCATTCCGTGGCTAACCCCTCCCCTTACGCAGTTCCTGTGTTCTCCCACCATGTGGGCTCCTGGGTGCCCTGTCATGTATTGAGTCTGCCTGCCTTTGCCACTGCGGCAGAGGAGGTGGCAGTCTACCTGGAGCTGCTTCTGTGTGTGACCGGTGGGGAAGTCAGGCTAGGAGTTTACTTGCCTTTTGTATTTTCTGATGAAGGCCCCTCCTTTCAGGGCATGTACATCTTCCTGCACACGGTGAAAGGGACACCTTTCGAGACTCCAGACCAGGGCAAAGCCAGGTTGCTGACCCACTGGGAGCAGATGGACTATGGGGTCCAGTTCACAGCCTCTAGGAAGTTCTTGACCATCACACCGATTGTACTGTGAGTGCTCAGACTCCCCTCATCTCTGGTCTTTGGCGTAGGGATGAGCAGAGGGAAGGAAGTGACATATCTGGGGTCACCATGGGCCTTGGGTCTCCCTGGCTCTGACTTTCCTCCTAGGCCTGGGGTAAGCTGGGGGTAGGTCAGGAGGGCTTTGTAGCTGGTGATTCTCTGTCTCTCCACTTCCTATCCGGGACCCTGATTTTCATCTCCCTCCCCTGCTCCCCCCAGGTACTTCCTTACCAGCTTCTACACCAAGTATGACCAAATCCATTTCATACTCAACACTGTCTCCTTGATGAGTGTGCTCATCCCCAAGCTGCCCCAGCTCCATGGAGTCCGGATTTTTGGAATCAATAAGTACTGAGGTTGCAGCCCCTTCCCCAGCCGGGTTGGCAGGGGAAGGGTAGAAGACCTTTGCTGTGATGCTGAAGATAGGAGTCTCTGGACACTGCCAGAGATGGGGGTGCGCCCTGGGCCTGGCTTCCCCCTCGCTTCCCCAGTAGCCGACTTGGAGTAGCTTGTAGTGGGGTTAGGGTGGGGCCCTTGGGCTCTAACCCATTCTGAAGTTTTTGATCTTTTCCTTTTGCCTTTTGAATAGAGATGCCATGGGGGTGGTCATGAAAGGGGCTGGGCTTTCCGACTGACTGTGGACCTGAGAAGTTGGTACAGGAAGCCAGGAAAAACCCCTGTTGGTTTGTTTGCCTTCAGGCAGCCATAGCACTTTAACCTCTGAGAAGGGGCAGAGAGACGGTACGGCTGGCTTCTGCATTGTCTCACTTTTGTCGCTTGGAAGCGCAGGCTGCGCTGCCTCTGCCCTCCAGGTAGAGCAGTCAAGACTTCATTGACGTCCTTGTAAGATGGGGTTGGGGGACACCTGGTGTAGAAGTGGGGGCCAGGATGCTGCCGCCCTGGTCCTGGGGAAAGGGGAGCTCTGAGCAGGGGTAGGGTGGGGTCTTAAAATGGTCAAGAGAACAGCAGCTGATATGGATTAGTGTAAAAAGAGGGTCTGGGAGGAGAAGCCAGACCCAGCCTCCTCTGGGTGTGGGCTGAAAGGAGGGTTGGCTTGGAGGGTTCATTTACTCACAGAATGATGGTGATGGGGAGGGGGTTGGAGCTCCTGGCCTGGTATGAGGGTGTGCCCAGGCTGGAAGAGGGAGTCCTGTGAGTCCTCAGAAGCACAGGTCCAATTTGAGGCTTCCCTTAGCAGTGTATGAGGAAGCTTTAGGGCGCAGCTCTTCTTCAGCCCTTCAGCTTGTATTCCCGTTTAGATTGTGCCGGGGCAGTGCCTCTTGTGTGGCATGCATGTGAGGGGCCGGTAGGCCACCTCCACATGAGGTCAGTGGGCTCCACAATGCTGTAGGGTCCTTGTCCAAACAGGGCACTAGTAGGGACAGCTGCAGGCACTGTCTCCTCAGCCCAAAGAGAGGTGGGTCACAGAGCCTGACACTAAGCTGAGAGGGGCTGTCTTCTCCCCTCGCTGGTTCGATTGGGGCATGTTCCTTTGGAAAGATGTGGGTGCTTGAGCCCTCTGCCAGGGGCTGGAGGGAAGTCACGCACCCCGTTTTCTTCCCCTCACCCTCATTCTCAACCCCGTGTATCATAGGGAACTTTCACCTTCTGGTCTTTCTAAGCGGAGTGTGAATAGGATTTTTATGCCCTTTGTACAGTATTCTGAAAGAGAAAATAAAGTGCAACGTGTTCTGGTAGCCTTGCGTCTGGACTCTGCTTCCCATTGGCCCTGGGGATCGGCTGGCTGTGTGGGCAGCAGCTCTTGCCTGGCAGGGGTGGGGATTCTCGAGTGGCCCGGGGAGAAAGCCAGAGTGGGTGTGAGGAAGCTGGAGAAGGCCCTGGAACGTTGGAGCAGAGTCCCACTGTCTGTGCCTCCTGCTGTTCCTCTGACCTGAGCCTCTGACTTCACAGGCCTGGCTGGGGGAATTGGGTCGGGGGTTGGCCACCAAGCAAGGTCAGTCCAGACAGGGCTTACAAATGGAGTAGGGTCGGGGGTTACTACTGGTGCTCTGGTATTGTCTGTCTTCCTCACTTCTCTGTTGTGGAGGGCTGCCTTTGCTCCTGGCCTTGGTGCCCCTCCTGCTCTGACAGTAGGAGGGAAGAGAGGCCCCAGCCCGGAGAGGGCGGAGTCCTTATCTCCTGTGTCTGTGCAGTATTATTTGCTGCTCCCTGGCCAGGTACAAAGTTCTAGGCAGGCAGAGGAGCTCCGTTCCCAGTAGTCTGTGGCCCTGGCCCATCATCCTGGTGTTCTTAGAGTCCGGGAGAGTGTGATCTTTCCACTAGTCTGGTTATACTGTCCGCTCTTCGGATAAGGACTGTGATGTTGGGGGACGAGCTGCCGCTGGGCTGAGTCTTGGGAGTGGGCTGATCTACTTGCTTCCTTGGCCTATAAGCCAGTTGGGGTGAAGTGCCAGGGTACCTGAACAGTGATCTTTGTTCAAATGCCAGCTCTGCTACCTAGAGATGTGTGATCTTATCTAGCTGCCTTTCAGAGTTCTTCTGTTGAGGAGGCGAGTGCCTCTCTGGGCTGTTGTGGCGTGAGCGCAGTGCCTGGGGTATAACCAGCAGTTGAGTAGTAACTACAATTATTACCACTGCCACTTCCTTCAGTGTGCTTCTGAACGGAGGGATAGGGAGGCCAGAAGATAGACTAGGCTCACTCACACTATCCTCTGAGGGAGGCCAGAAGACTAGAGAGGAGAAGGTGGATGAAGATGGGTGGCATCCAGATAAGGAAGGTCTGAGGAGAGGGCACATAGAAATGTCACGTTGGGGCTGGAGAGATGGCTCAGAGGTTAAGAGCATTGCCTGCTCTTCCAAAGGTCCTGAGTTCAATTCCCAGCAACCACATGGTGGCTCACAACCATCTGTAATGGGGTCTGGTGCCCTCTTCTGGCCTGCAGACGTACACACAGAAAGAATATTGTACACATAATAAATAAATAAATATTAAAAAAATAATTCCAGAGGCCAGAAGAAGGATCTTGAATCTCAAAAGGAAAATTTTAGCCTGGCGGTTGTGGCGCACGCCTTTAATCCC